CTTGATCTAATCTGGGGCAGTTCTGTATGTATCCGGGTGCTTCTGGCTCCAAGTACAGATGTGCCTCCATTTACTGCAGGGTTACATCCCCAAGCCCATCCTAAATTGAAAGCATCATAAATACGTTTACTGCACCTGACCTGTGGAACATAGGAGTATAGTTTCCACCGAATGCACTTTACATTTGTACTGCTGTGAAGCTGAAAAATTGCAAGTCAAGGGCTGCCTGTGATAGTAAAGCCAACTCAGACTGGCCCACATAACTGAGAATCCGGAGGCAGGCCGGCCACAGGAATGAGTTCCAGGCATCTGTGCCTGCTCCCTTCTCTGGCTGGCCTCCTTCCGGTGGTGACAGGATCCCAGACTCCCATTCCACTTGTCAACAGAGCTGCTTTTCCCTGTTCTCACACGTCCATGATTTCCCTTTCTTTAGAGTATTTTAAGTCATGGTTTGTTTTGGTACTGGTGATCAAACACGCCCTTCACACTAAGCTACAGCCCCAGCACTTTTTATCTTTTTTTGTTGTTGTTGTTTGTTTGTTTGCTTGCTTTTTGGTACCAGGGATCAGACTCGGGACCTTGCCCTTTCGAGGCAGGTGGCAGAATCACTGAGATAAATCCTGACCCTTTTATCTTTTATTTTGAGACAGAGACTTGCTAAGTCACTAAGTTGCCCAGTTTACACCTGAGTTACTACCAAACCTGAAAAAGTTACTGAGGCAAAGAAACAGATTAAAGAGACTGGCTTTGGGGTAGAATGGGTGCTAACCTTGTCCACCACCACCTAGTATCACAGCCATGATCAGCTGAGAGCCACCGTGACTCCCTCTCTAGCATCCTTTACCCCTTTGGCTTCCACTCTTAAGTTGCATTTGGGGCTTTTTTCCTTCCCCTTTTTTCTCAAGAGTATGTGCTTCTGATGAAGCCCAACTCCCCTCCAGTGCCAAAGTGTGACCAAGATGCAGGAGACCAGCACACTGTATTCTGGTCTGGCTTGCTTATCAGAGAGGTGTTTCATTTGCTCAAAGCCAGTGAAACACAGTAATCTTCACTGGGCCTCCAAGGAAGGCTGGGATGGCCAGGAGCTCTTATCTGCTGAACTTGACGCCAAGAGTCTGTAGGGTCTGGAGCTGTTGGCACTGTCTTCTCTTCCCATGGAGAGATACCAAGGTTGGGGCAGAAACCTACTGAGGCTGGTCATGCCACCAGCCTCAGCCCTGCACTTTTCCCGTCTGGAGTCAAGACATTTCCTCTTTGCTTTAAGCCAACTGGGCCTGGTTTTCTGCCATCCAAAACAGTGTCTTCAGTCATACTCTTCTCCTGCCTTATCCAAGGCAATGACTGCCGCTGAACAGGACAGGTGGGTGACTAGAAGTTTTGGCCCAGGCTTTACCAAGCACATTTGTCATTTGACTCTAATATTAATGGAAAGTATCCCAGCCATGAAAGATATGGAAGAATACTGAGTGAATACAGATGAGATTTCGGCTGGATCAGGGGTAGGCAAACTACAGCCCCCACCTGTGTTCATAATCACATCTGACAGGGTACAGCCGAACTTCTGTGGTTTTGTGCATGACAAATAGGAACAGATAGGAGCAGAGACCGTGCGACAAACTAGTGTCATCTGGCTCCTTCCCCAAGTGCGCTGCCTCCAGGTGTAGATGGTGGATGAGTAAAACACTGGGAAAGTACCACCCCCACCAACAAATCCATGTCCCCAAAGGGAGCGGCACTGAGCAGACCTCCAAGACAGACCTGTGTTCCACTAATACCGCCCTGCTCTCAGCGTTAGGAGAGGTGAATGGGAGGCACACTGTGCCGTGGAGGCAGGATGGTCTCTGGAGCGTCACAGGTGTCCCAGAGCACCTGCAGGCATAAGCACACCCATTTCCCACCCAAGGCCCTTCCCTTTTCAGGAGTCTGGATGCTGAACCCCTGGAGTGACCCACTCCCAGGAGGAGGTGGGGTCAATGTAAATACAGTGGGACTGACATACAAGTTCTTCAATTTGAAGGGTCCGTTTTTTTGAGAGTGTCTCACTATGTAGGCCAGGCTGGCCATGAACTCATGGCAATCCTCCTGCCTCAGCCTTCCAAGTACAGGGGTTACAGGTATGTCCCACCATGTCTGGCCAGTTTTCCTAATGGAATGTCAGCATTATTATCTGTATGCCTACCTGTAAAGCCAGTGGCTTCCACTCTGGCCATAACCACAGTGTGCTTAAGGTAACCAGACAGCCTTCCCTCCCCAACTTTTTTTTTTGCAGTGCTGTGGATTGAACCCAGAGCTTTCCACATTCCAGGCAAGTGCTCTACCACTGAGCTACATCCTTGCCCCATACAGCTCCATTTTTAATTCCTGGCTATGAAACTCCTGCTGAAGGACAGTGTACAGTAAGTGCCTGACTTACAAATGAGTTCTGTTCTGGGAGAATTGTTCGTAAGTCAGATTGGTTTGTATCCAACAAAGTGAGTCTTATACCAGCATACCTCTGAAAGTTTGCAACTTGAATGTTCCTAAGTGGGGGACTCACTGCATACAATTAATATGGGTGAAAGAGTGTAAGGGTATGTTGTCAATCACCACCTTAGAGTTTCCTCAACTTCGTCTGTCTGTTAAGTCAAATCGCCAGAAGCAGCGCAGCGAGACACAAGGCGGGCCCTTGGGGAGGCCCGCTGTTTGGCTGTGTGTTACGCCTCTGCTCTCCGATGAGGTCTTCCTAAGTGGTGGCTTCATAAAGGTCACTACTGTGTTGCCCACAGAGCTGCTTTGGAAAGGGTGACTGTGCTGCTTTGTGCTTCAATGGGATCAAAAACAAGAACGGAGCAGGAGTGGTGGTACACACCTAGAATCCCGGCACTTGGGAGGCCGAAGCAGGAGATCTTGAGTTCGAGGCCAGCCAGGGCTATGTAATGAGATCCTGTCTCAAAGGAAAAAAAATCCTGGGGTTGTAGGTCAGTGGTGCCATGCCTGCCTCAAAAGCGTGAGGTCCTGAGTTCAATCTCTGCTACCAAAAAAAACAAAAGGAGGAGGACAAGGAGGAGTTGGGGGAGAAGGAGAACAAGAAGAGGGGAGGAAAAAAAGAATTGGCTCTGCAGGTCTCACATACAGACCCAGAAAGCCTTCAGGGAAGATGGTGGAAGCTCACTGGGAACTAGGTGGATTCTAAAGTGAAGGCCACACTGGAGGAAACCTGCTTCGGTTGAGTTCCTTGATTTGGGCTGGTCCTCTTTTTCTTTTTGTAGTACTGGGGGTTGAATCCAAGGACACGTTTCCACTGTGCTACACCTCCGTTTTTGTTTGTTTGTTTGTTTGTTCGTTTGTTTGTTTGAGACAGGGTCTTGCTAAATTGCCCAAGCGGGACTTGAACTTGTGATCTTGCCTCAGCCTCTCAAGGAGTCAAGATTATAGGAGGGCACGGCCCCACACCCAGGTGTGTTGGCACTTTTCTGGCACAGGGCACCTGTGTTCCTTTCTTTCTAGGAGCAGCTGAGGGAGCTTCGTGTGGCCACCAGGTGGTCCTGGGCCCGTGTTAGCACTGTGCATGCAGGACTGAACCCAGCCCCGGACCAGTGACTCTGGAAATGGCCCAATGGTTCGGTCTCCCTGAGGTTCAGCGTCCACTGCCACAGAGAGGGCTCACTGGCCCAACCCTGAGCCGCAGTGCCGCAGTGGGTCCGGGAAGGATTCTCCCGACAAGAGCAGTAGTGAATGGGGATGGCCGTCCATCTTTCAGTTTGGTTTCGTGTTGTGTCTTCTCACTGGCTATTGCTACACTCCAGCCTGTAGTTCTCACCTCAGAAATGGTGTCGGACAGAGAAGACGGCTCAGGAATACCATTTACCAGCACTGTCATCTGGGGGGAGTCCGTGCTGGCCTATGAAAGAGGGGCTGGCAGGATCCCAACTTCTAAGGGACTGGAGGTGGGAATAAGGGGAACATTGGAGCCATCCAGACATAGGGATGTGTGGTAGTTTTGTGTTAATTGATGGCAAAAAGACTTATTGGGGATGACCCACCTTGAGAGCTCTGCTAGTGTATTCTGAAGTGTCTGTGTGAGAAATCTAAGAACTGATCTCCAGGTCCCACCTAAAGGCTGAGTGGAGAAGCCCTCCTGACAAGGCAGCCTCATGGAAATGCCAGTCCTAACACCGATAGCAGTGGTGGGACACAGCCCTCTCTCTTCTTTAGCCCAGCTTTATCTCCTGGGTCCAGCCCCTTGGTACGAAGCCAGCTCAGCCTCAGCAGTGCTTAATCACGCCAGTTAAGACTGTAGTTAATCTTGCAGGACTGGAGGCTCTGTGCAGAGAGCATTTTGCTTTTTGTTACGGTGAGGGGAAGGATGCATTGCAGAATGTTGTTTTGCAGCCCAACCTTTGTTAGCAGAGCAAAAATAGCACAGGGGGCAGGAATTACATTCCAGGATGTCAGGATGTGGTTGGGCTGTGTGGATGTGTGTGTCCTCTGAGGACACCCTCTCCTCTCCCAAGGGGAAGCCATAGAGCAAGCCCCTACCTTCCCCCGCCTTCCTGGGGATAGGGTGAAAGATCTGGGAAATCCAGGTGGCCACAGGATCCGGCCTGTCCCTGTGTCAGCCTGCCCACCAGGACACAATGTCTGCGCTGGGCCTGGGGAGCACAGTGCCCTCTCCTAGGCAGCTGGAGATGGACAAAGGGAAGGAAATGCAGCTCAGGGAGCAAACTGAACTGTACCAGGGAGTTGGCGAAGCAACAGTGCTTGTGGGGCCCGCTGCTTCCTGGGCTGGAGAAGGTGGCGTGAAAGCGGGACTCACGTCCTACCCTGAAACGCCCACTTGGACGGCCTGGAATCTCACACACTGGGCGCCAGCAATCCCACGGCCCACTCCCGATTACCCCATAGTGGGCATTCTGAAGGGTTTTTCCTGGTAGCGATCACATAAGAGACATTGTAGAATGCACTAGGCACTGGGTTCAATTCTCAGTACCGCAAACAAAAACAAAACAAATGAGACATCATAGAAAATGTTATTCTTTTATTATTTCAAGGAGGTAACACATAGTCCAGGGTGCCAAAGCATTAGGGAGTTAGAGGCAGCGAGTGGCCGGTTGTTTTGAAAAGAGCCTCATGCGGCATCTCTGAGTGCCTGTCTGCCTGCAGTCCATGGTGCTGGATGATGACCAAGCTCAGCACCCACTGACCATGCACGGGGTCAGTGCAGGAGGCAGCAGAGGCCCCGCCAGGACTGACAGAGCAGGCAGCACTCGCTGCCTCCAGCACTTCCAGACCACTGCCCCGCAGCAGCTGGCTTGTCTAGCACTTGATTTGACATCTCTGAGCCTAGAATGGGTAGGACAAGAATGAATCCTGAGTCATAAATTAAGGTGAAAGACTTGGTCGTATTAATACTCCGGGTGGGAAAGACAACACTGCTTGGAGGAAGGTGGGCTGGGAGTCTGGCAAGAGAAAGATGGAAACACGCAGAAGGGCTCTGGCTACAGGCACTGCCCTGAGGACATCAGGGGACATTCATGGTATACGGAGGTCAGGGCTGGGCCTGGGGGCCACTTCCTCTGGCACAGAGTGGGACCAGAGGTGCATTTCTACTCATACTTGGTTTCCCAGGTGTCAGTCACCATACCTGGGCTGAAGCAAAACTTGCCTGTGCCCAAGCTTGGCCTTGGAGAGGCCCTGGCTCAGATCTTCAGTTCTGCAGGGGAGTGACTCTCAACTCAAGGAGACATTTGTCCCTCCACCCTCAGTTCCTGTCCCTTGCAAATGACAAGGATGGAAGGTGAGAGGCAGAAGCACCTCCTAACTCAGCCCCAACATAGCCTTTTTGGGGACCAAAGCCCCGTACCTCAGCATGAAGCAGCCTGATTTCCACCCTGGGAGGGTGCCTCCTCTGGTGATTTAACACTGCCATGCAGATGGGAGTCACAGCAGTGGCCTTGCATGCTGTGACACTCAGACACCACCCAAGCTGGAGGGCTGGTGGGAGGGGCTGCTTCCTCCCAGCATGCACTGCTCCCTACCTCACTGCACAGCGTGTAGACAGGTTTTTGGTTTGATAGGGATGAAAAGAATTTTAAAAATCATGCCACTGTTTACTCTAAACCTACAGCCAGTGGCTTTTTTTTGACAGGAGAGGATGAAGAAAGCCACAGCTCCATAGTGGCTAAGGCTTGTGGAGCACAGACATACTATGTAGCAAAACATAAAACCTTGTCTGAGTGGGGAGGCGGGGAGCACAGAGCTTGGCACGCGTCCTCTAGTCACTTGGAGTCTCTGCTGTCCCCTCATCCTCAGGCTCCTCGAAGCCAGGGACTGGCTTCTGCAGGAAGTGCGTGGTGGCCTGGATCACCTTGTCCGGTCCAATGTTGTACACAGGGTGTGTGGGCTGCTGCAAAGAGAGGAGCAGATGTTGACTTGTCAGCCCAGCTGTCCCTGCAAGCATGCACACCCTTTGCCCCCTGAAATGCACTTCTGAGAATCCAGCATAAGAAATCACCAAAGAGTCAAAGATTCATCACTCAAGGCCCAAAGGTTCAAAAGCCAGGTATTTTCTAAAAAACCTTATAGTGCAGAGGACTAGAGGAATATTATTCAGCTACTTAAATATATACTGTCAAATCATTCATGATGCAGGCAGATGATTATACAGACTGAGTGTCCCTTATCTGACATATGTAGGACTAGAAGAGTTTCAGATGTGGGTGTCTGTTGGATTCTGGAAAATTTAAATAGACTGCCAGGCAGGCAACCCTAATCCATGACGTTTGTGTGTGGTACTGGGGATCAAATTTGAGGTCTGGCACACAATGTGTCCCCACTCGTGTCAAGGGTGCTAACGTGACACTCAAAGCTTCAGGTTTTGTAACACTGCAGATTCTGAATGGTCAGGTTAGGGATGTTACCCTATATCATATATATAACATATATGTTATATATGTAACATATAGGTTACATATAACACATATGGTATGTGTAACATATATAACATATATGTTATATGTAACACATATAACACATATATAACATATTCAGTGAGAAAAAATGGATGTGCAGTATTATCTCAAACTTACTTTTCTCTCTCTTTTTTTTTTTTGGTACTGGGGATCGAACTTGGAACCTTGCGCTTGTGAGGCAGCCACCAGAACCACTGAGCTAAATCCCCAGCCCCTCAAACTTACTTTTAAAAATTTATTTATAGATATAATACTTATGAATAGGGGAAAATTGGCCATATACCAAAGTATTAAGTGATTGTTTTTAATCTTAATTATACAGTTACATATATATTTCAATTATTAGAACAATGAATATTTATATTTATAATCAAGCAAAAGGACCTCAACCCTAGTATATAGTAAACATGCTAGGGGATATTTAAAACCAGAGCCTTGCACATGCTAGGCAAATGCCCCACCACTAAGCTATATCCCTAGCCCTAAAGCTTTTAAATATAATACCATGGGAGATGTCCGCGGTTAGGGAGTTGTTGTCAGGCTAGCAAGAGACACCCAACCCCAAGACCAGAAGCCAGGATTACCTTGAACTTCTGTGGATCTGAAAGTACCAGAATCAGCACCCTGCCCTAATCCTGCTGCAGGCTTGCTGGGATTATCCAGCACAGATCTGGGCTCTGACTGTCTCCTTTGTCTACCAGCTACCAGCAGAGTCACACCCTGAATTGAACACTACCACAAAACTATAGACTCCAGAAGATAACTACAGGCTGGAAATCACAGAGAAATTCATTTTGTTTTTGGATTGTGTGTTTTTCGGTTTTCATAAGTGTGAATGCTGTATTTAGATTTTTTTGTTTTCTTGTTTTTGTTTTTTCCTTCTTTCTTTCCCTCCTGTGTTTGTTACCAGTTTCCCAAAGCTTGGGTAATCTTCCTTTATCTTTTAGCCTTCTAATCTCTTTCTCTTTTTCTATCTCTATTTTTTCCTCTTATCCCTTTTAAATTTTCTCCTCTTAGGGTAAAACTGCTCTATTGAGTGGATATATACTGTACATAATTTTCTGATTTGTCTTGGATCTTGATATATAACTATAAATCTTGTATATATGGTTAAAGATGGCAAATTATTATTTATTACAGTTTGTCATTTTCTAGTCTGTGCTTAATGCTATTGTTATTACTGATTATACTACTTTAGCCAAGGTGACATAGTTGTTGTGATCAACTGATCTTCCTTGTATGCTAATACCTAGATTGTCTGGGATCATAAACAATACCATAGTCTAGTACCAATGAACTGGGTGCTGGACAAAATAGGCAGCAACCTTTCATCCCTAATAAACTGAAGAGGCAGGATTCTGCCTGGGACAGTCTCAAAAGCCAAAAGCCATCAATACTTAGAAAACATCTATGAAAAATAGGCATTTCCTAAAGAGGTCTCATTGCTAGTAATAAAGCTACCTACCATAATCAATCTATAAGCCTCACTGAAGAAAAAAAATTTTTTTAATGGAAAAAAAATATGGAAGCAACATGCAACCCATAATCCCCAACTTGCCCAAGGCAAATCAAGGGGGCATTGAGGAAGAAAAAATGAAAAATTTCCAGCTGAATTTTATGAAATGCTGGCAGCAGAAGCAACAAAACAGATCAGTAAGTCTCTTGACAAAAACAGAATAGATAATTAAAGAGATGACAATCATAATGAAGAAAATGACTAGTGAACCTAGAGTAGATACCAATTAAAAAAATAGAGGACCTTAGGAAAGACATGGAAACCATGAATGCCCAAGAGAGAAAAGAACTGGATTCCATAAAAGACTCAAGTAGAAATCCTAAGGGCATAAAAAACTTGTTCACAAAAGTAATAGCAGAAAACTTTCCAAGCAGGGAAAAAGAACATGAGATACAGATAAATGAGGCATACACAACTCTAATAATCATGATCAGAAAAAAACTACACGAAGGCATATAAAAGTCAAGATTCCAGAAATTCAACACAAGAATAGAATATTAAAAGCTGTTAGACAAAAGAAATCATCTATAAAGAAAAACATATTAGAATCACAGCACACTTCTCAACACAAACCCAAGGAAAGGTTGGGGTGAAGTATTTCAAGCTCTTAAAAACAAAGAACCTCCAATCCAGACTGATGTACCCCACAAACTTTTCTTTCAAAATTGATGGAAAAATAAGATACTTCCATGATAAAGAACACCTGAAGAAATTCATGACCACCAAACCAGCAGTCCTAAAAGTTTGGAAGAATATTCTAGAAAAGGACAACAATTCCAAGAATCCCAATAGAACAAATCCACCAGGGAAGACAAGTAATTAAACAGAAGGGAAAGAAAGGGAATCAACCACAGGAAAATAATATGACAAGGATAACTCAATACATATCAGTTATAACCATCAATGAATATGGTCTCAATTCACCAATCGAAGGAAACAGATTGGCAGAATGGATCAAGAAATGAGATCCAACAATATGCTGCACACAAGAAACACATTTAACTCAAAAAGAAATTCACAGACTGAAAGTCAAAGGATGGAAAACAATATTCCATGAGACAGGAACCTGAAAAAAAACACAGGTAGCTATTTTATTTGCAAGCAAAGTGGATTTCAAGCCAAGACTGATCAGAAGAGATGAAGAAGGTCACTACATACTTGTTAAGGAAACAATCTAAGAGGAAGAGATAACAATCATCAATATATATGTACTAGAGGCCAGGGATTTAGCTCAGTGGTTCCGCTGCCTGCCTTTCAAGCACAAGGACCTGAGTTCGATCCCTGGTACCAAAAAAAAAAAAAAAAATAT